GTCTCTCCTGCCCGGGCTGGCTTTGAACCTCGATCCTCAGATCTCAGCCTCCTGAGTAGCTAGGATTACAGGCATGAGCCACCAGCGCCCGGCTCCTGAGACTCTTATCTCCAATTAACAACCAGAAAACTGGAAGTGGCAATGTGTCTCAAGTGGGAGAACGCTAGCCTTGAGCTGACAAGCTGAGGTACAATGCCCAGGTCCAGAGTTCAAACCCCAGGACCAACAAAAATAAATAAATAGTTTTTGTCTTAAGACTCTGTATAGCCCCCCCCTTTTTTTTAAGGTCATGGGGCTTGAACTCTGGGCCTGGGCGCTGTCCATCAGCTCTTCAGTTTAAGGTTAGTGTTCTACCACTTGACACACAGCATAGCACCACTTCCAGCTTTTTCTGTTTATGTGGTACTGAGGAATTGAACCAAGGGCTTCATGCATTCGAGGCAAGCACTCTACCACTGAGCCACCTTCCCAGTCCCATGAATATAGCCCTTTAAATAACCAATGTAGGGCTGGGAATGTGGCTTAGTGGCAGAGCGCTTGCCTAGCATGCATGAAGCCCTTGGTTCAATTCCTCAGTACCACATAAACAGAAAAAGCAAGAAGTGGCATTGTGGCTCAAGTGGTAGAGTGCTAGCCTTGAGCAAAAGAAGCTTGGGACAGTGCCCAGGCCCTGAGTTCAAGCCCTAGGACTGGCAATAAAAAATAAAATAAAATAAATAAATATACCAATGTTACTATTCTTCAAATAAGATCACAAACCAGGCACTGGTGGCTCATACCTGTAATCTTTTTTTTTTCTTTTTTATTGTGAAAATACTGTACAGAGGGGTTACAATTACATGGGCAAGGTAATGAGAACATTTCTTTTCAAGCATTGTTGCTTCCTCCTTTGTTTCCCCTTCCCATCTCCCAATCCCCCCCTCCCCACCTGTAATCTTAACTACTCAGGAGGCTGAGATCTGAAGATTATGGTTCACTTCCAGAATAGGACAGGCAGGAAAGTCCAAAAGGTTCTTATCTACAATTAACAACCAAAAAGCCAAAAGTGGAACTGTGGCTCAAACTATAGAGCACCAGCCTTGAGCAAAAAAGGTAAGGGACAGCATCCAGGCCTGAGTTAAAGCCCCAGGACTGGCACAACAAATAAATAAGATCAGAGTGCTCCATTTCCTGAAATTTACTTAAAATCACAAAATCATTTTTCCTTAAATGCCAATTAACATCTCCATGACACCAGTATGACTCAGAAGACAATGTAGAGGGCAATAATTTTAGGGTCATCTTACAAAAGTAAATACAGTTGGTGGCATGTAAGGGTATAAAAATGTACTAACTGAATTTGGTAGATTGACCAGAGAACTCAAATAGCATAATTCCTTAGAAAACCAAAGTCAAAGCTCAACAAAATAAACACCAGGATCTGGGTGCTGGTGGTTCACACATATAATTCTACCTACTCAGGTGACTGAAATCTGAGGATTGTGGTTCAAAGTCAGACCCAGCAGGAAAGTCCGTGAGACTCTTATGTCCAATAAACCACTCAGAAAACCGGAAATGGCACAGTGGCTCAAGTGGTAGAGCACTATCCTTGAGCTGAAGAGCTGAGGGCGAGTGTCCAGGCCCAGAGTTCAAGCCCCATGACCGACAAAAAAAAAAAGAAAAAAAAAGAGAGAGAGAGAAATGGGGTAGAAAACAGTCAAGAATTCAATGTCAAGTTAGGCTCCTGTAATCCTAGCTACTTAGGAGGCTGAGCTCTGAGGACTTCAGTTGAAAACTGGGATAGACAAGTTTGCAACTCTTTTTTTTTTTTTTTTTTTGAGATAAGAGTCTCACTGGACTTTCCTGCCTAGGCTGTCTTTGAACCAAGATCCTTAGTTCTCAGCCTCCTGAGAAGCTAGGATTACAGGTGTGAGCCACTGGTGCCTGGCTCTGCAACTATTATCTCCATTAAACTACCAAAAAAACTGGAAGTGGTAGAGTGGTTCAAGTGGTAGAGTGCTAGCCTTGAGCAAAAGCAACTCAAGGACAGCACCCAGGCTTTCATGCCCCAGGACCAAAACAAAAATAAGAGTAACTCAAAAGAGTAACTCTTTACCTGACATATGGTAATCCCTCTATACATCATCTTTGTAAAAACAATTTAAAAAATTTTTAAAATAAGGCCAGGTGCTGGTGGTTTACAACTGTAATCCTAGCTACTTAGGAGGCTGAGATCTGAGGATCGTAGTTCGAAGATACCCTGGGCAGGAAAGTCTGTGAGACTCATGTCCAATAAACAACCAGAAAACTGGAAGTGGCACTGTGGCTCAAGTGGTAGAGCCCTAGCCTTGAGCTGAAGAGCTCAGAGGCAGTGCCCAAGCCCAGAGTTCAAGCCCCATGACCAACAAAAAAGAAAAAAAGAATTTTTGAAATAATTCAACGTATATCCTACAAAATTAAGAAAAGTGGGGCCTCATGAGGAGCTGGGAAGGTGGCTCAGTGGTAGAGCGCTTGCCTTGCATGCATGAGGCCCAGGGTTTGATTCCTCAGCACCACATAAGCCAAAAAAGTTGTAAGTGAGGCTGTGTCTCAAGTAGTAGAGTGCTAGCCTTGAGCTGAAGAGCTGAGGAACAGCATCCAGGCCCCATTACCAATCAAAAAAAACATTAAGTGAGAAAAGAGTATCATTGCCAAAAAAGAAATGTACTTATATTACCTGACTTATGTAACTGTAACCCCTCTGCACATCACCTTTATAATAACAATAATTTTTTTTTTTTGTCAGTCCTGGGGCTGGAACTTGGGGCCTGGGCACTATCCTTGAGCTTCTTTTGCTGAAGACTAGCACTCTATTACTTCAGACACAGTGCCACTTCCAGCTTTTCCTATTTATATGGTACAGAGGTCAAATCCAGGACTTCATACTTGTTAGGCAAGCACTCTACCACTAAGCCACCTTCCCAGCCTCAAATGTTTTATTTTTTTATTTTATTTATTTATTTATTTATTTTTGGGTCTGGTCGTGGGGCCTGAACTCTGGGCCTGGGTGCTGTCCCTCAGCTCTTTCAGCTCAAGGCTAGCACGCTACCACTTGAGCCACAGAGCCACTTCCGGCTTTTTTCTTTTTGCTTATGTGGTGCTGAGGAATCGAACCCAGGGCCTCATGCATTGCAAGGCAAGCGCTCTACCACTGAGCCACCTTCCCAGCCCTGTTTTATTTTTTTAAAGTGAAGCAGGGCCAGGTGTTGAGGGCTCACACCTGTAATCCTAGTGAAGCTAAGATCTGAGGATCTGAAGATGGCAGTTCAAAGCCAGCCCGGATAGGAAACTCCATGAGACTCTTATGTCCAATAAACTACTCAGAAAAGCCAGAAGTGGATCAAGTAGTAGAGCATTAGCCTTGAGCACATAGAGGCTCAATGACAGCACCCAGGCCCTGAATTCAAGCCCAAGACTACCACCTCCCTCTCCCAACCCTCTCCTAACAAAAAAAGCGGGCCTGGTGCTGGTGGCTCAGGCCTATAATCCTAGCTATTCAGGAAGCTGAGATCTGAAGATCGTGGTTTGAACCCAGCCCAGTCAGGAAACTCCATTGGACTCTTAATCTCCAATAAACTACTAAAAAAAAAAAAGCTGGAAGTTGTGCTCACCTTGAGTAAAAGAAGCTCATGGACAGCGCCCAGACCCAGAGTTTAAGCCCCAGGATTGGCCAAAAAAAAAAGTGAAACCTGCTGTAATCCTAGCTACTCGGGAGGCTGAGGATCATAGTTTAAAGCTAGCCCCAGCAGGAAAGTCCATGAGAGTCCTATCTCTAACCACCAGAAAACCAGAAATGGAGCTGTGGCTCAAAGTGGTAGAACACTAGCCTTGAGCACAAAAGCTCAGGAACAGTGCCCAGGCCCTAAGTTCAAGGCCCACCACCGATGAAAAAAAAAAAAATGAGGGACAGAGTAGGTTGGAAAGGATGGGTGAGAATGGTGAAAGGGGAGACATTGATCAAGACACACTGTATTCATAAACTGCTTTGTGGGGCTGGGAAGGTGGCTCAGTGGTAGAGCGCTTGCCTTGCATGCATGAGGCCCTGGGTTCGATTCCTCAGTACCACATAAGCAAACAGAAAAAAGCTGGAAGTGGCGCTGTAGCTCAAGTGGTAGAGCGCTAGCCTTGAGCTGAAGAGCTGAGGGACAGCGCCCAGGTCCAGAGTTCAGGCTCCACGACTGGATGCAAAAAAAAAACAAAACAAAAAACTGCTTTGTTAAATGGCAACTCCTGTGTGTGTGTGTGTGCTGTGTGTGTGTGTGTAAAACTGATTTGTTAAATGGCAACTCCTGTGTGTGTGTGTGTGTTCAATTCAAAGCTAGTGCTCTACCACTTGAGCCACAGTACCACTTCTCGGCAACTCTTTTATATAACTACTTAAATATAATTTTAAAAATAAGAGTCATAATTTCCTGTTTCTTCCTACCGTTTGCTTTCCACAGACTTGTGCTTCCGGCGGCAGCAACTGTTATAGTGGGGAGCTCTGTGCAGGGCACTCTGGGTAATAAGTCGAGTCTGGGTTAGCAGAGGAGCCTGGTATGAGCATAAGAGACAAAGTCAGAGTCTTCAGAAGCAAAAGCCCTTCCAGCCCGTTGTGTGCAGCAGAGTCCAATCTAGAAGGCACCCTCCTCCCTCTTTTGATTACCTCAGCTTTGGCTTCTTCCCTGATCAATTCATTCTGCTGCCTTGGATTTTGTTCCGTTTCCTTTCTTGGGTGTTTTTTGCCATAGAAAAGCTGTAAACCTAAGAACAAGGAGAGAAAAAAAAAAAAGCGTAGCATCAAACGATATGCAGCACGTCAGGAGTTAATACATTCTCTATCCTTTATCTTCTCCCAGACTTACTGGATAGATGCTTCTTGCCTGAGCGGTGGGCAGTCAACATTGACACGGTGTCCAGCACAGGCCGGTGAGGGCAGATAGCACAAGCAAAGCTGCGAATGGGAGGAGGCATAAAAAGAGTAAGTCCAAGAGGGTAGGTAGTTCGTGGAGACGGCCGGATGATTCAAGCCCTGACCTCACAGTCTCTTTCCCCAAACCAACTCCCCATCCCCATTTCTTCCGGTCCTCACTTCACGACAAAGAATACGAAATCCTCTAGGTCTCTTTAATAACAAACGTTGAGCCTTTAGCCGCAGAACACTCGGGCTTGATCCACTGCTCCCTCTCACCGTCCATCCCGTAGCATCAGCGCCTCGTCCTCGGGGATGTAACTAGCCAGCAAATCCCCAACTCTTCGTTTCTGCAGGGGACAGAGAAAGAAGTCCGCACGGGATCAGAAAGACGGGAGGAACAAATGGAAGGGAAATACTAGGATCCAGAAATCAGATGGAGGAAGGGCCACGGAGAGAACAGTAACCCGAGCAAAGAAGGAGCCACCCCCACTTCAGTCCCCAGACCTCCCCTGTCCCCTCAGGGGTGTCCAGAGCATCGACACGAAGCTCCTACTCCGCCTTCGGAGGAGGACTGAAGCCGTCCCAGACCCTCCACACTCTGACGTACTTTGAGCACATTGAGCTGACTCCAGTCGTCCCCTTCCCTCTTGAAAGACATCACGACACCGAGTTACAGAAACGCTCAATTCTCTGGTCTGACTTCACCACTCCTCTAGGCCACCGTAGAGTGGATTAGCCTCTACTTCTCTCCTTCCGGCCTCCTTCCGGTTGATTCCGTATTTCCGTAGGATGAGGTTTTTCCAGCATGCACTGCGCGTTCGCGAAAGCCCCCTCCCCGGGCCCTGAAGGGACTACGTTTCCTATGATGCTCTGCGACCTCGCGGAGACCGCGGAGCCTTCTGGGAAATGAAGTCTCATTTTCAAAGAGCTTGCGGCTCGGCTGGCCCCCCGGCCTTTTGCCTCCTGGTGAATTCACTGCGTCTGGAGAACGGGACCCCAGGGGTGGTGGCTAAGTTTAAGACTGTGACCTGTCTGGTCCGGAGCGAGCCTTTGAGGATCTCAGAGTGGAAAGTGTACTACAAACTCACGCAGACCTCACGCGCATCGTCTGCAGCTACAGCCTACCTGAGATGGGCCTGATTTATTCCTAACCCTAGCAGGCGAAGCCCCAGGACAGGGCAGAGTTCGGCATGTAGGGACCACCCGAGACCCGGCTGCGGGCTTTGGGATAATCTGAGGAGATTGTGAAAAGGAGGATATCTAGAGTTAAAAGGTCAGAGGTCAGGGTGGCGAGGAGTTGTCGGGGGTGAGAAATCGGAGGAGTCAATACACCGTGGACAGATGTGTGGGTGAGGGGGGTGTGGAGAAAGGCAAAATCGGGAGGCGTGGTGTCGGAGGAAGCCGGGAGACTTAGGGAAGAAGAGAGGAGGGGAGAGGAATATCCATTCCCTGAGGTCCTTCGGGTCGTCACAGTCCATCACTTAGCCAGGCCTCCCACGGTTGCAACCCTGCCCCGGGCAGGGTGAGGAGATCGATGGCCTCTCCCTCTAGACAGCCCCCGATTGGGGCGTCAGGGCTGCTGCAAGGGAGTCGGGCTCGGTCTTATGGAAGCCTGGTGCAATCAGCCTGCTCACCAGTGAGGGAAAGACGCCTGGAGCATCAGTTGGAGCCCGGAGATACCCTGGCTGGCCTAGCACTCAAATACGGGGTGACGGTGAGTCTTCCAGGATGGGGGTGTGATAATCATTTAGGAGAGATTTAGTCCTGTGAAGAATTGGGTGGCCCAGGCAACCTCCCCTGATATTTCCCCTAATCGTGTTGTGGTCGGTTCCTGTCTTTATACATTTGTTTTCCCATCTTCATGTTGCCCTGTCTGGTGGGGATAGATCTAGACCTACTGTCCCAATGGAGAGGAGCATCTTTTATTTATTATGCCAGACCCTGGGCTAGGCGCTTTACAGTCATTAACGTATGTGAGCCTCACATCCCCTATCAAATACACGACTATTGTTTTTCATGTGGATGAAGAAACTTGAGACTTTGGTAAAACAATTTGACTGGGGTCAGATAACTGAGTTCCAGAACTGGAATTTAAACAGGTCTTACTGTACAGCTGGTACTATTAACTACATAGAATAATTTTAATTGAGAGTAATTAAACATTTACAGCAAGTAATGAAGAGCTGGGGGGTTTTAGTTCTAGATTCTAAAGTGCCTCCTTGGTATTCTGCTTTCTTTCCAACAATATGCCAAACAGGCATGTTCTTTCTTTTCTTTTTTTTTTTTGGTTTGGGGGCGGCCTGGGCGCTGTCCCTCAGCTCTTCAGTTCAAGGCTAGCGTTCTGCCACTTGAGCCACAGCACCACTTCCAGCTTTTTTTTCTGCTTATGTGGTGCTGAGGAATCGAACCTAGGGCCTCATGCATGCAAGGCAAGCACTCTACCACTGAGCCACCTTCCTAGCCCCAAACCAACATTTTCTATACCAAGTATTTCAGGTTCTATTTAGAGGAGATAGGGGTAAAAAAATATATTGCATTAAAATTGATGAGATTCCCCCCATTTTCTGTTCCATCTTACATAAATAGATGTTGAATTTAGGCAACATTTCTATGCTTGCTATATTTAAAACACTATGTAGTAGCCCTTTTTAGAGATAGAAACGTAAATGTATCTTTGCTGTTTTGAGTTTTGTTTTGTTTTTTGCCAATCCTGGGCCTTGAACTGAGGGTCTAGGCATTGTCCCTGAGCTTCTTTTGTTCAAGGCTAGCTAGCACTCTACTACTTGAACCACAGCTCTACTTCTGGCTTTTTCTGCGTATGTGGTACTAAGGAATTGAACCCAGGGCTTTATGCATGCTAGGCAAGCACTCTACCACTAAGTGAAATTCCTAGCCATTGTTTACTGTTTTTATGTCATTTAAAGTTTAGTGAGAAGCCTGGCATCCGTGGCTCATACCTGTAATCCTAGCTACTCAGGAGACTGAGAGCTGAGGATCATGGTTCAAAGCCAGCCCCGGCAGGAAACTCCAAGAGACTCTTAACAAACCACTCAGAAAACCAGAAGTGGCTCTGTGGCTCAAGTGGTAGAGTGCTTGCCTTGACCTGAAGAGTTGAGGGACAGGGTTCAGGCCAGAGTTCAAGTCCCTCGACCGACAAAATAAATAAATAGATAAATAGTGTAATGAGAAATGAATGAGGATATAAATAATAGTTATAGATGACAGAATGTGGATGTGGTGTTTGTGGGTACTAAGAAGGAGTGATGATATGACAAGTTTTTTGTTTTTAGTTTTTTATTTTTCTGTTTTTTGCCAGTCCTGGGGCTTGAACTCAAAGCGTGGGCACTGTCCCTGAGCTTCTTTTTTTGTTGTTGTTGTTGGTCGTGGGGCTTGAACTCTGGGCCTGGGCGCTGTCCCTCAGCTCTTCAGCTCAAGGCTAGCGCTCTACCGCTTGAGCTACAGCGCCACTTCTGGTTTTCTGGTGGTTTATTGGAGATAGGAGTCTCAAGGTCTCTCCTGCCCGGGCTGGCTTTGAACCACGATCCTCAGATCTCAGCCTCCTGAGTAGCTAGGATTACAGGCGTGAGCCACCAGCGCCCTGCTTCCCTGAGCTTCTTTTGCTCAAGGCTAGCACTCTATCACTTGAGCCACAGTGCCACTCCCAGCCTTTTCTGTTTATGTGGTAGTGAGCTGTCAAACCCAGGGCTTCTTGCATGCTAGGCAAGCACTCTACCGCTAAACCACATTCCCAGCCTGACAAATATTTTCATAAAAGCAAGGGTAGAAGTATGGTGGTGGTGGCTCACACATGTAAATATTAGCTACTCAGGAGGCTGAAATCTTAGGATCTCTATTCAAAGCCAGCCCAGGCAAGAAAGTCTGTGAGACTCTTATCTCCAATTAACCACCAGAAAAACGGAAGTGGAGCTGTGGCTGAAGTAGTAGAGTGCTGACCTTGAGCACAAAAGCTCCTGGACAGTGCTCACGACCAGAGTTAAAGCCCCAGGACCAGCACCAAAACAAAACAAAAAAAAACAGAAAACAATATTTTTACTTGCAAGGAGACAGGAGTAGCATTAGTTCGAGCCTTAAGGGTTTCTTTACTATTAGCCTTGAAAGACTTTTTCTCCTAAGCTCTTTCCTATAAGTCTCTGGAATCCATTGTTTATATCTTTTTCTTTGCAATGGTCTATATACTTTTTTTTGGGGGGGGGGTCTGGTCGTGGGGCCTGAACTCTGTCCCTCAGCTCTTCAGCTCAAGGCTAGTGCTCTACCACTTGAGCCACAGCGCCACTTCCGGCTTTTTTCTTTTTTCTTATGTGGTGCTGAGGAATCGAACCCAGGGCCTCATGCATGCAAGGCAAGCACTATCACTGAGCCACCTTCCCAGCCCGGTCTCCATACTTTTTAAAAATAGGAACTATTTGTCAGTCACTGATACTCACATCTGTAATCTGGAGGCTGAGATCTGAGGGTTGAGTTTTTTTTTTTTTTTTTTT